GGCATGCGCCACTGTGCCCAGTTGGGTAATTCAAAACAACAGATATTTATTCTCTCTCAGTTCAGGGATCTAGAGGTCAGAAATGAACTTGGCAGGATCCGTTCCCTCTGGGAGGACTTGAGGCCTATTCTTGCCTATTGCTATCTTCTGGTCCACCAACTATCCCTTTATTCCTCTCCTTACAGGAACATTTCTTCATTCCCATCATTATATGGTGTGCTGTACATGCCCCCCTCCCCTCGTGGGCCACCAAGCGCACTCCAGTGTGACCTTATCTTCACTAATGAGATCTACAATGACCTTATCTTCAATAAGGCCTTGTTCTGAGGTACTGTGGGGTTAGGAGATTTTTTTTTCTTTTTGTTTCGCTTTTTAAATTCTTCTTTTTAGAATTGTCTTGTGTAGCCCAGGCTTCTTTGAACCAACTAGGTAGCTGTCTTAATTAGGGTTTTATTGCTGCGCAGAGACACCATGACCATGGCAACTCTTATAACAGAAAACATTTATTTTTTTTATTTATCTGTTTATTTTACATCCTGGCCGTAATCTCCCCCATCCTCCTCTTCAAGACTCTTCCCTTCCCCCCTCCCACCTACCTCCCAATCCCCTTCTCTTCCATCTCCATCAAGGAAATGGCAGGTGTCCCAAGAGTATCAATAAAACATGGCATATCAAATTGCAGTAAGCACCTCATGTATTAAGGCTAGGCAAGAAGATCCAGTATAAGGAGCAGGGTCCCAAAAGTCAGTACAAGAATTGGAGACAGTCCCTGTTCCTGCTGTTAGGAGTCCCACAAGACGACCAAGCTACATAACTGTAACATATATGCAAAGTGCCTATGTCAGTTCCATGCAGGCTCCTTGATTGTCCGTTCAGGCTCTTCGAGCCCCTATGAGCCCAGGTGAACCTGGTTTCATGTGACCAGATTGGTGCCTGGCCCAGTTGTCACCAGAGAGGTGCCATCCAGCAACTGATGAAGGCAGATGCAGAATCCACAGCCAAACATTAAGCAGAGTTCAGAATCCTGCAGATGAGGAGTAGAAAGGAGTGTAGGAGCAAGAGAGGTCAAGGGCACCATGGGAAGGCTCACGCAATCAAAGGAAAGTATTTAATTGGTGATGGCTTATAGTTTCTGAGGTTTAGTTCATTATCATCATGGCAGGAAGCAAGGCAGCCAGCAGACAGACAAAACTGGAGATGGAGCCAAGAGTCCTACATCTTGATCCACAGGTGGAAGAAGGAAAAACTATTACACTGACTAGACTTGAGCTTATAAGACCTCCACAGTGATACACTACCTCCCACAAGGCTACACCTATTCCAACAAGGCTACACCTCCTAATAGTGCCACTGTATAAGGGTCAAGCATTCAAACACATGAATATCTATGGGGGCCATACCAAACCACCACAGTAGCTGAGCATGATCTTGACCTTTGAACTTCCTGCCTCCCCCTTCTGTGTTCTGGGATTCCACTGGCATGCCTGGTTTTTGAGGTTCTGGGGACCAAACCCAGGGCTCCTGCAAGTACAAACAGTCTATCAGCTGAGCTATACTTCTAGCTCTAGGAATTAGAATTAGCGTATCTTTTAGGGGGACACAAACCCTAAGGGCCCTAGAATGTGCTGTGCTGCCTAAGCCCCCTCAGTGGCCAAATTCAACATTCATTCTCCAGACCTCCCCATAGTGTGTGTGTGTGTGTGTGTGTGTGTGTGTGTGTGTGTGTGTGTGTATGTTAGAGGGTGAGACGATCTCCTCTTGTTTGTCTTCCCCTATTCCCTGTAAAGGGTATACAGTGATGTCAGGCAGCTATGCAAACATTAGCAGACCTGAAAGGCACAGGGACTGACTTATACCCAACAGCTTAGAAAACCAAGGACTAAAATTGCAGAACTCTATTGGCTGGTCAGAGGGATAAGGCCTGAGTCTTAAGGCCCTGGGAGATGTGACAACCTAAACTGTCTGGAAGGTTATTAATAGACCTGGCTCTGGAAATCGTAAGCCTCATAAGGTCCCCATCTAGCCGGAGGCATTCTGACAAAGTATAGCTCAAGATTCTGTCTCAAGGCAGAAGGTGAGGACTGACAGCAGAAACTGTTCTCTGATCTCCACTTATGTATGCATGTGTCTGCACTCACAAGTTAGCAACACACACACACACACACATACACACACACACACACACACACACACACACACACACACAGAGATACACAGAGATACACACACAGGCACTTTTTCTTTTCTTTCTTTCTTTCTTTTTTTTTTTTTAAACAGGTTTCTCTGGTACTCACTCTTAGAGCAGCCTGGCTTCTCACTCACAGAGAAGTGCCTCTGCCTCTGCCTGCCTGTGCCTCTGAAGTGCTGGAATTAAACATGTACCACCACCACCCAGCTTCTCTCTCTCTCTCTCTCTCTCTCTCTCTCTCTCTCTCTCTCTCTCTCAATTCAAGGAGGCACCTCATGAAAAATTTACTCAGGAAAAATTATCTGTTCAGAAACAACATAAGGCCTGCCTAAAAAGTAGACAGGTGAGTGGTCCTTGGGGCCAGTGTTTACTCTCATGTCTTAAGTATGTGCTCTGCTCCATTAGGCAATAAAGGCGTCCCTAAGTGTCTTGTCTCTTTTCACAGAGATCTCAAGAATGGAGGAAAGGGGACTCCAAACCAAGAGCCCATGGCAGGTGCATCCCTAAAGCAAGACATTGTTTGTCAAGTATATTGCTTACTCTGGTAGGAGGCCTAGTGAATCTAGTCAGTTTCAGGGACTTCCTGAAGCTATTTTGAGTTATTTACCTTCCTGTTTAAGGAAGTTCCTCAGGCCACTTTGAATTGCTTATTGCTTAAGGAGATTCCTGTAGGATGGGGTGTTTTTAGAAACAGTTACATAATAAGAGGTATTCAAGGTGGTTACATTTTAGAAGCTGTGGACCTGACTGCTAGTGTAGGCATTGTGAGTCAAAAATACTGAAAAGAATCACGCCTTTTGCAGTCTGATTTGCTGATTAGAACTTTGGAGTTACAGAGAGTTGGAATTTTTTTTTTAATTCAATATTTTTTTAAAGATTTTATTTATTTATTACATATACAATATTCTGCTTCCATGTATATCTGCACACCAGAAGAGGCCACCAGATCTCATAACAGATGGCTGTGAGCCACCATGTGGTTGCTGGGAATTGAACTCAGGACCTTTGGAAGAACAGTCAGTGCTCTTAACCTCTGAGCCATCTCTCCAGCCCCTACTGAATTGAACTTTGGTGCTACAAAGAGGTTGGAACGTTGTATGTCCCTATCAGGTTATTTTGTGGCATCTTTATACCATTTAACTACTGCTTGCCCTGCTCACTACCTAACCTAACATCTGTAAATCGTTGAGTATATAAACAGACCCTTAGTTTTCAGCCAACCAAAGGGTTGATTGCCCTCAGACTAGCATCTGAGGCCTATAAGCTGAAATTTTTTTTCCTCCTTCTTTGCTGTAGCCTGATTACCTGGGATCCTCACCAATATACTTGAAAAGTGCCTGGATTTATAACCTCTTTTTTCTTTTTGGTTTTTCAAGACAAACTGTCTAACAGCCCTAGTTGTCCTGAACTAACTCTGTAGATCAGGCTCTGGCTTTGATATCACAGAGATCTACCTGCCTCTGCCTCCTGAGTGCTGGGATTAAAGGCCAGCACCACCACTGCCTGGCGATTTATGACTTTCTTTGTTCTGTTGCTATAAAACCTTCAGTAAGATGCTGGAGAGATGGCTCAACAGAAGGGTATTTAAGGTCTGTACAGAGGACCAGAGCTCAGTTCCCAGCATGTACATGGTGGCTCACGGTTTTCCATAACCCTTCTGGCCTCTGAAGGTACCAGACACACAAGTGGTGCACAGATACACATGCAGGCAAACACGCATAAATCTTTAAAGCAAAACAAAAAGGAAAAACACACAACTTCGTCAAACTGTTAACACGTTGGAACATGTAATAAACTTCATCTGTGTTCTAGAGCTAGGCTCGCTCGTATTTGACTCCAGGATAATCCATCTCTGATCCCCTTTGACGTAAGAGTTGCCTTTTTTTTTTTTTCTTTTTTTGCGTTGTAGCATAGTTGCAGTCAACAGCCCCTTCAACAATGCCCGCAATGACTCCGTGAAATAGGTATTTATAGACTTCAATTCCATGTTTTCTGCGTTTTGGAGAGATGAAACTACAATGCGGCCTCAATTAGTGTGGTTTCTTCACGTTTTTCAAAGTTCCCTGATCTGCCCCATATGGAGAAAACTCAGCCTGGAACAGCATCCTAAAGATGTAGGCGCAAGCACCCGCCCCCAGCGCTCTGGCTCGGGCTGACTCTACACAAAGCGGTTCCCCCCGAGGTTTCCGAGCGTGCAGGAGGAGCTGAGCGCTGATTGGTTCACGCGGCCGGAGCTCCGGCCCCGCCCCGCCCTAGCTTTCATCCTGGCATCATTATTGGCCAAGCGGCATGCGCGCAGAGCTGGCTGCCCCTTGGGCTCCGCCCCTCGAGCTCCGCCCCCTGGGTTCAGAATTTGCACCGGGTGAGGGCGGCCGCCGCCGAGGGAGCGTGACTGCTGGGCTCAGGGCTCTAGGACGCCTTGTCGCTGTAAGTGCTGCCTCTAGAGGCCCACAGGCTTCGCGTCACGCAGAGCAACGGTAGCCAGAGGCCCCAGCGTGTCAGAGGCTGGGGAAGCAGGGAAAACAGGGTCCCAGGCTTGGCGGTGTCCTTTTTCCCTCCCCCAGAACACCTGGTAGCACTGAGCTGCGGCTCGGGTGGTGTCCTGAGGCGTGGACTCGCCCGCCCGAGTTCGTTCGGGGGAGTGGGCGGTTCGTGGTTAGCGCTCCGGGACAGCCTACTTCCGTTTCCCCAGGGAGACGCCCGTGCTCTCGGGGAGAGGCAGCTGCGCATGTCGCTCCGAGAGTGTGCCTCTCCGCCCCTGGCAGCATTGGACGCCCCCGGTCCCAGTGATCGCCAGCCTCCCCTGCTCTGTTTGCTTTATTTGCCCCAGTCCCCGCCTGCCAGGCCAGCGTAGTGCTAGAGGCGAGCAGCCACTAGCAGCGAGCATGAGTTCTGGGGGAATCCTGTCTTTGGCCACTGTCCTACAGTCACGGGCAGGTACGGTCTGAGGATGCTCACGCGGGGCTCCCCAAGACTCAGAAACCCGGCGCCTACACGTCCGGCTCACTCCCCAGCGGGCTCTTTCCCCTGGGTGGGAAAGTGGGTCACCTCTGTTCTGGTCTAGAGAGGACTTCTGGGACTGCTGGGGTGCGAACAAGCACTATGCTCCTCATCTCCCCACACCAACTCTTGGACTTGGCAGGGTCCCGGAGCCTGGCCTGAGCCAGCAGTGGAGCAGCTCGTGCACATGGCTCCAGAGGCTCCGGTTGCTTCACAGAGCGGCTGCCAGGCTCTAAAGTTCCCAGTTGACCACAACAGTAACTAAATATAGGACCATCTGGTGAGGCAGGCCGGAGTGTCGCAGTGGTTTCTTTGCAGAGATCTCAGGGCTACAGATAAGGTGGTAAAGTTCTGGCCTCTAAGGGCTGGGTCAGAGCTATGGTCAAGGTTTAAGTACTCCAGCCCCATGTTTGGAGTCTAGGTGAGACTGGTTTCTGATCTGGCAGAGAAATTGAATAGTGCTCACAATCACATCACAGCTGAATAGCATACCCACCTTTAATTTATGTGAAAACTTCCAGTCTACCCTTGTCTGATCATCTATTGATTGGTCACGCTTTAATGTAGGAAGCCTTTAATGGCTTCCAAAGCCCTTCCTCAGAAGTGATTTGCCATCAATTACTTTTCCTAACAGCTCCATTGGGGAAGGTGATGTTTTCCATCTTACAACTGGGGCTGCCGCACAGCATTCAGAACTTTTCCAGAATTCTGCTTGTCTCCCTGTCCTGTAACTCACTATGTAGACCAGACCAGGTGGGCCTTGAATTCTCCTGTTGGGGAATATTATTTTAAGATGTGTTACATTTGTTTATTCTGTGTAGCATAAGCTTTTTTTTAAAGATTTTATTATATATACTGCATTCTGCTTCCATGTATATCTGCACACCAGAAGAGGGCACCAGATCTCATAATGGATGGTTGTGAGCCACCATGGGGTTGCTGGGAATTGAACTCAGCACCTCTGGAAGGGCAGTCAGTACTCTTAATCTCTGAGCCATCTCTCCAGCCCCATAACATTTGTTTTAATGATACAAAGATGTGTTGCATTCTTTTATGTTGTATTTGTTTAACTCTGTGAAGCTTTGTTTCTTTGCCTGTCTAAAACAGGCTGATTGGTCTAATGAAGAGCTGAATGGCCAATAGCAAGGCAGGAGAAAGGACAGGTGGGGCTGCCAAGCAGAGAGAATAAACAGGAGAAATCTGGGAGAAGATCTAGGGGCGAGAAAAGGGGCCAGCCGCACAGCCAGACACGGAGTAAGAAGGAAAGAAAAGATATACAGAAAAAGAGAAAGGTAAAAGCCCAGAGGCAAAAGATAGATGGGATAATTTAAGAAAAGCTGACTAGAAACAAGCCAAGCTAAGGCCGGGCATTCAGAAGTAAGAATAAGACTCCGTGTGATTTATTTGGGAGCTGGCTGGTGGGTCCACCAAAGGCTAAGGAGCCAAAAGAGTAAAAAACAAACAACTACACTTCAAGGGCTGGGATTAAAGGTGTGTGCCATCATGCCGAACAAGAGAGAAATTTTGAAGCTCACAAACAACCCAAGTGGACTTGTGCTTAATCATTTAAGTACCTCTGAAGCTCAGAGGGAGGAGGGACTGCTGAGGCCAGAGCAGTCAGGCGCTCTTCCTGGGAGTGGAGCCATGGGAACTCTACTCATTCCTCAAGGATGAATTCTGCCCAGATGTTTGTTCAGAGTCCTGTGGGTCATATACAAAACACTCAGCGCTGGTGTCACACCTGTTTGTGTCCTCCCAGATGGCTTTTGTTGAGTATTTATGAGTCCTGGGCTCAGAGTAAGACAGGCGCACACGGGTTTTGCACGATCATACGTACTCATCAAGAGAGGTGTTACTAGTCTCAGTGTCCTGTGTGGTTGAGACCTCCTCCCACTCGTCTCAGCTACTCAGTGGTAGAGTTGGACTTGGGGCCTTTCCCATCTTCAGTGTGTTCTGGCCTTCCTGTGTCAGCCTTTTGGCGGGACACACGCCATCGATCTCCTGGGTGAGGGAGGGGTGGGCTTGACTGTACCTGCCCTGATGGCCAGCTCTGGACACTGTCCCCATATCTCTTCTTTCTGCCCTTGTCACTCTTCCGACTTTGGCTTCTGACTAAGGTGGGTTTGCCAGAGCTCCTTTGCTGGAGTGACTGTTGAATTCAGGACTGGGGACAGGGACGGGAGATGGCCTTTGGCATTGACTTTGGTTCCTTTCTCCTTGTGGTGATGTGGGTGACTTCTGTGAAGAAGCAAATACTGAGTGTGGTACTACCCAGACCTGATTATGGCCCATTCATCTTGAGCTTGTCCCTGGTACCTAGTCATTGTTTGTGCTGTGGTTTCTTTCTCTGTAATAACAGGGTTTTGGAGACATTGTTATGACTTTTTTCATCTATCTATCTATCTATCTATCTAATCTGTCTATCACTACTTGAGACAAGGTTTCATGTAGCCCATGCTGGCTTTTAACTTAATGTAGCCAAGGATGACCTTGAAGTTTAAATCTTAAACTCCCTAGTGCTGGGGATTGAACCCAGGGCCTTTGTGACTGTTTGGTAAAGCATTTTACCAGATAAGCTACACCCCAGGACTATTTTTCCAATGACCCATCAGTTGCTTTCCTTGCCCGTCTTTTTGTGAGGGGGGGGCATGGGTTTCGAGACAGGGTTTCTCTGTGGCTTTGGAGGCTGTCCTGGAACTTGCTCCTGTAGACCATGTTGGTCTCGAACTCACAGAGATCAGCCTGCCTCTGCCTCCCAAGTGCTGGGATTAAAGGCGTGCACCACCAATGCCCGGTGGGTCTTGCCTGTCTTTTTATTCATTTTATGTATATGGTGTTTCTGCACCACATACACTTGCATGTGTATCTGCACCACATATATGTCTGGTGCCTGGTGCCTTCAGAAGCCAAAGAGTGTGGTTGTGAGTCCATGCAGGTGCTGGGACTTGGACTCGGGTCCTGTGGAAGAGCAGCAGTGCTCTTAACCGCTGAGCCATCACTCCAGCCTCCACACTTCTCTAAGTATCTTCTCAGTGATCCGGTTTCCCTTCTCACTTCCAGCGCTGCTTCTTTGCTTGTAGATAAATTCCACAGCAAGCCGAGATGAGGCCTGGGTGCTGACACTGTAACCTTCCCTCCACTCTGGCATACCGGCAGGGGATTCCTAGAGACCACCCACCTGCAGGCTCCAAGGTCCGTTTACCTTGGTTCTGCACTTCCTGCCATGTAGTAGGAACCTGGTAGATGGGGCAGCGAGCAGGACAGCTGGCCTACTTGTGTGGATTGAGCCCTGGCCAGGAGACTGCAGAATAGACAGGTGCCTTTCCCCAGCAGTTAGCTGGACCTGGCCTCTCCCTCAACACCCCGCCCAGCCTATTGAGTCACAGGCCATCTGAGTCCTCATACCTGCCTGGCCACTGGTTCAAGCTCTTGTGTAGGTTGATCCCCTTGGGAAAGTGGTAAGGCTCAGCTGCCCTCACCCTCTGGGTGGCAGATCAGAGCAGCCCCTGCAGAGGCTGAGCTGGGCTCTGGAGGAGGTGAGTGGCCTGGGGACTTCTTAATGACCTGAGTCCCTAGGGAGAATACTGGTCATGGAACCCTGGCTGGCAGGTGGGTGCTTCATGGTCCTGTCTTCCTCAGGCACAGACCCCTTTGTGAGCAGCAGACCAGCCTGGAGGCTGGGAGCCGGACCCCCACGTCTGCATGCTGAGGAAGATGGGTGAGGCCGTGGCCAGAGTTGCAAGGAGAGTCAACGAGACAGTGGAAAGCGGCTCCGATACCTTGGGTAAGTGAGGCCTGGCTCTTCTACCGTGTGACTTGCTTGTGAACTCAGAGATAACACATAAAGAGATGAAGGGGCTATCAGTATGTGGCCAGGAGGACTGGCGCTTCATGGAGCTTTTCCTACAGTTGTGGCTAGCGTGTGTCTCACCGTAAACGTACTTATTTTGGATTTTGGCCAAAGAAATTGGAAGAGTGCTGAGCTGTGGATCTGGATGTTAGTGAGCGCTCCCCCCACCCCCTGTGTGTGTGTGTACGCTGCTCCCTCCAATTGCCTCAAAACATCAAACTGGCCACGCTTGAGTCACCCCATGTACAGGTGCCTCTTGAGTGTTGTCTTGTTGAACTGTCATAGCCTCCCTGTGGTGAACAGTACTTTGTAGTCACAGCTAGCCTGGGTGAGCTTTTGGATTCACCCAGCTGGAAGACACTTCGATGCTCTGATGTTGTGACATGTTTTTTTTTGTTGTTGTTGCTTTTTTTTATTTGAACTGATCATAGCATTTTAGCATTTTATTTACCCTGAGACTCCCAAGCATTTAAGCAAGCCATCCGTCTAGTGGAGTTCTGCAGTTGGGAATGGCAAGAGGATCCAGGGAGAGCAAACAGTTTTGTCTGTGTATGCATGAGTTTTTGTGTGCCTTTGTGAGGTGAATGATTCATGTGTTCTGTACACACACACACGTGTGTGTGTGTGTGTGTGTGTGTGTGTGTGTGTGTGTGTAATTCCCAGGGGTATCAGTGCCACTGAAGAGACATAAGCATGTTGGCACATTGTAGGAACCCATAGGGTACAGCCCTGTCTTGGGGATGACTGTGAATATAGCTTAGATGGGCTTTGCTAGTGGAGCAGACTTTTCCAGGCATGTGAGGGTTTGTGTGCACGTGTGTGTGTCTTCAAGTGTCTGTATAACAAGGAAGCCTGTGTAGAGACCCAGCTGAGAGCTTCCCATCAGGTGTGTCTGGAATGCAGGCTCCAAGTCAGAAGTGACAACCCAGGAACTAGAGAGACAGTCAGCCTTCAGATATGCCTTGGTCATTGCCTCTTCCAGGAAGCCCTCAGTTTTACTGCATCCACCCTTCCTTCTTCCCTTCCTCCTCTGTAGTGACCCATTTGGCATTCCCAGAGGGCAGGGGCACTGATTTTTTTCCCAACATTTAACTCTGGCTGAAGTGGAATGCTGTGCAGATCAAACTGGCCTCAAACTCACAGTGATGTGCCTGTCACTGCCTCCTTAGTGCTTCGTGTGCCACTGTGTGCAGTTGACTCCGTGGTCTCCTGTTCCCTCTCTGTGAACCTAGTATGGCAGTAAGGGTTTGCTAAGCTGTTCCGAAGTGTGAGAGGTTGTCAGGAAATGGGAAGGTTTCTGCTGGCTTTGGAGGGGACCCTTAGTGATAGCCACTAACTGTGGCCTCTCAGTAAAGCTCTGGAGTCTTACCCCAGCATACAAGACTCTCTGCCAGGCTTGGGCTACTGGGTCCTGGGTGTCAACCTGACTCTGCCCAGTACTAGCTTGGCATCTTAGAAGGTCACCTACTATGTCTAAGCCTTGATTTCTTCATCTATAAAGTGGGGATGGTAATTGTGTCCTCCTCTCAGGGTGGTTAGGGACAATTGTGTCCTCCTCAGGGCGGGTTAAGGACAATTACATCTGTCACTTTATTGGCATGCAGGGAGCTCAATAATTGGAAGCTATTATTTTTTTTAAAGATTTATTTACAATGTATAGTGTTCTGCCTGCATCATGTCTGCACACCAGAAGAAGGCACCAGATCTCACTGTAGGTTGTGAGCCAACATGTGGTTGCTGGGAATTGAACTCAGAACCTCTGGAAGAGCATCCAGTGTTCTTAACCTCTGAGCCATCTCTCCAGCACCAGCAGCTATTATATCTAATTTTTTTCTCATACTCAAAGGTGGTGGAGGTGGAGGCTAAGTCCTTGTTGGTACAAACACACCTCCACAGGTGCCAATCACCCAGGTCACATCCCCTCTGAGAGTCAGGCAGTTCAGTACAAGCTGACGTGTCTGTCAGGTGACGGGTCAAGGGACCTGGGCAGCATCTTCTCATCCAGATCCAGATCCTGTGAGCACAGTGGGTAGTAACAGTGCTCAGGAGGGAGAGCTGGAGAGAGAGACCTGAACTCTGACCCCTGAATCTTCCTGGCGGAAGAGGCACCGTGCGGAAGCAGGAGGAAAGGACTGGATGCAGCTGAGTTAGGAGAGGAGAGGCCTTTGCTGAGTTAGTTGTTGCTTCAGCTTTCAGAAGTGTTGTTCAGGGGTGATACCCCCCACTTTGTGAAATCTGGTCCTCTGAAAACCAGAGAGATTGCAGACGCATGTGTCTCAGAGGTCAGGTGCAGATGTCAGCTAGTCAGAGTGGGTTCTGTCTGGGTGATGTGTGTGGGATGGTTCCGGTAGAATGGGGCACACCAGCTTCTGCACCAGCAAGGGTCCATGCCCCACCAAGGGTTCCTAAACAGGCCTCCAGCCACCATGCCAGACCACCGCAGTGCCTGGGATTAGAGCCCCTGCCTCGGGCACCAGAGGCAGAGGCTCCTTACCACACAGCCTTGGAGTAGGGGGGCAGCTGGTGATCGCTGAGATCCTGGGTACAGCAAAGCTCCAGTCATCGTGGGAGGTCCTGCAGCCATGGAGGTTCTGTTGAAGCTGGAGACTTTCCTGTGGTGGGGATTGGGCCTTAAATGTCAAGGTTGGAGTGTACAGGGCTTTTTACACCTTTAGTGACCATAGATGCAAAATGTGGGACCTGGTCTCTCTGAGCTCCCTGTAAGTTTGGAAGGTGTCATGACCAGGCTCAAACAGTGTGAAGGAGCTGGGTTTTAAGAAGTTTGCTCTTATTGAGTAACTACTGTGTGTCACCTGTCTGAAAAAAAGCAAGGACTAGGTTAGATGGCTCAGTGTGTAAAGATGCTCAGCACCAAGCCCAAGGACCCAAGTTTAATTCCCAGGACCCACATGGTGGAAGGAAAGAACCAATTCCAACAGATTGTCCTTGGACCTCCATGTGGGTCTTGTGGCATTTGGTTGTGTATACACACAAGCTTGTGATTTTAGAATATTTAAAAAATATTTATTTTTATTTTATGAGCATTGATCGGTGTTTTGCCTGCATGTATGTGTCTGTATGAGGGTGTCAGACCCCTTGGAATTGGAGTTATAGACAGGTGTGAGCTGCCATGTTGATGCTGGGAATTGAACCCTGGTCCTCTGGAAGAACAGCCAGTGTTCTTAACCACTGAGCCATCTCTCCAGCCCCTGATTTCAGAATCGTTGAGTTTTTTTTTTTTTTTCTTTTCAGTACAGAGCTACAGAAAGGTAAGACAGATTAATAAAGAAAAGAAAAAGTAGCTTTTGCCTTAGTTCACCCTTTTACTGAAGGTAATATACTTCAGAAACCCCAGCTTCCTTCAGGGACATGGCCTCAGCTTGACAGGCCCTGAGTGACCGTCCTCTCATCTGGAGGTGCTGGAAAGTTAGTTTTCCTCCCAGTTCCTCTAGTCTCAGGCGCTCATGCGAGCGCTTTGCTAATCCTGACCCATTTAGTTGTCATGAGAACTTGACGATCCTGTTGTAAAGATGATGAAGCAGACAGGAGTGGGTTTTGTTTTGTTTTGTTTTGTTTTTTCCAACAGGGTTTCTGGCTATCCTGGAATTCGCTCTGTAGACAAGGCTGGCCTCAAACTCACAGAGATCCACCTGCCTCTGCCTCCAGAGTGCTAGGAGGATCAAAGGCATGTGCCACCACTGTCTGGCTACATAAGAGTTTTTTTTTTTTTAAGATTTATTTATTTATTTATTTATTATGTATACAGTGTTCTGCCTACATGTATGCCTGCTGGCCAGAAGAGGGCACCAGATCTCATAACGGATGGTTGTGAGCCACCTTGTGGTTGCTGGGAATTGAACTGAGGACCTCTGGAAGAGCAGTCAGTTCTCTTAACCTCTGAGCCATCTTTCCAGCCCCATAAGAGTATTTTTAAAGCGTTGTTTCTAGCGTTCTGCTGCATAAAGGTATCCAACCTGTGCCCTCTGTACGGTTGCTTTTGTTTTTAATTTTGTGACAAGGTGTCACTGTGTAGCCCAAACTTACTAGACCCCAAACTCATATAGCGTAGGCTGACTTTAACCTCACTGTATAGCCCAAGTTTGCCTTGCACTTACAGTGACCCTCCTACTCAGTCTCTCGAGTAAATACAAGCATTTATCAAATCATGTGGGAGTTCTACAGAGCTCAAGCTAGAAAGAGTGTGCAGGTGACCTGCTGGTGCCCCAGGTGAGTAGAGGTGAAACGATAGCTCATCTAGCCCTGTGTGGTTCACACCCTGATATGACAAACACCCTGAGGCCCCTGTGGGGGTGCAGAAGATGAAGAGATGGGCTGAAAGCTGAGCAGCTGGAGGCTACCCTACCCCAGATTGTCTTCTCTCATGCCTCAGAAACACCTCTGTGAGCCTACCCTTTCCTTTTCATTCTTTTTGAGACAGGGTCTCACTGTGTAGTCCTGACTGGCCTAGAACTTGCTCCATACACCAGGCTGACCTTGAACTCACAAATCCTCTGCCTCCCAAGTGCACCTCTATACCTGGCTTGCATTTTTAAATCATACGTGCTTATGCACACATGAATGCAGATGCTCTCAGAAGCCAGAGGACAGCATTGGATCCTCTAGAGCTGGAGTTACAGATGGTGGTCCTCTGTAAGAGTAGCAAGTGCTCTTAGCCACTGAGCTACCTCTCCAGCCCCTATCCTTAGCTCTTTTAATTTTTGTTTTGTGGTAGTTTCATCAAGTTGTCTAGTCTGGTTCCGAACTTGGAACCCTCTACTTCAGTCTCCCATGAGGCTGGGACTCCAGACAGGCAAACCCACACCTGGCAGAGCTTGGGTGCCTTTCTTCAGTAGAGCCTATGTGACACTTGTCCTGGCTCACGAAAGTCTGTATCTAGCTTCTCCCTTCCCCGAGTAGGGATGTGTGGTGTGACT